CGGTAAATACCCGAGAGTTAGACAAGTCAGATAGTGACAGTGATACAGACAGAGAGTAAAGTGTGAGTCACAGTTGCGAGCACGTGTACTCAGAAGGAAGTCCTACTTCGATACTGAATTGCCCAGACTGTATATATATTATTATTGCTACTAACCGCATTTCTGGATCTACTAACCGTATTACCAATTGTATTATTACGTCAATACATTTATTTGCTATATTTCATTCCTGCGTTTGTCATTCATTTTGAGACCGGATTTCATCCTGGAATCCACAACAATATATATATATGTACATAAAATGGCAACTGGTCTAGGAGAAAGACAACTATGAACTCAAAATCAGCGGAGAGTCGTTTGGGGATCTTGTGGCACGTAGTGCACCAGGTCTCTGTATTCGTCCCTTCAAAAAGTGTAGATGGTCCTGCAAAAAACCTTGACCACTGTAATCAAATTTCATTTGCTGTTGTCGGGCTGTCGGTTTCCTAGGAACTGATCGGCTTGATCCTCATACGTCGTATTGACGGGAGAGTCGAGAGGCGAGTATATATATATATATATATATATATATATATATATATATATATATATATATATATATGAATGTGTGTGTGTGTGTGTAAGATGAGAACGAATAGAATATAGTTTCAATGTTCATACATTTAATTTAAAAGAGAGTTCAACACAGAGAAAACTTTCCGGCAACTCTTGCCCCCAAATGTAATGCCATATATACTTTTGGATTTTGTCGGTACGGCTGAGAGGGTGGCCATGTACACTGAGCAGCGCACGACCTCCATATACAATCATTTGCACAATGGAGATGTCACAAAAGACTCACCCCAATATGACTGAAATTTGGCCAAACTGGGTGCTACGTTTATCTCTCGAGATTAACGGATGCTTTCCAAATGCGTGAGAGGTACTTGTTTGTATTGTGGTTAAAGATCTAGCAAATTTAACGTGAAAAATTAAATTTCTAGTCGCCCAGAAATCCACCGACTTAGAACATTTGAACAATGAAATATTTCTCCTAAATTACGTCTCCGCTTATGTGTCAACGTGTACTAAAATGAAAGAGAAAAAACGCGCGTAAAACCCTCGGCGATTTTTTCTTTTTATTCATTTCATCCCAAGCAATGGCCCGGGAATGCCTTTCAGAAACCAAGTCCGCGAATTCCTTTTGAAAACCTAGTCCGCAAGAGCGATTGGCGGACCAGGTTTTCGTTCTGATGAGATGAAAATCTCGGTGTTCATGAAATAAAAATTATAAACAAAATGGATAATTAAAGTCTCTGTTTTCTTTCGTCGGTGAGTACAGGACATGGAGATTTGGAAAGGAATAACAAAAGCTACTTAGAAACTTGCTAAAAATGCGAACTCAGACCACTTATTTGCAGTGTCCCTTAAAGTTTAAAAAGCAGCAATGATGAGTTACAGAAACAGATTTACCAAAAGTGACACAAAATTTATCTAGCGCAGAAGGTACTCTGGTTGTCAAAACGTTAAAATTTAGCAATTTCTTATTTAAAACTTTGTAAATAGCTTCAGTTGAATTATAACTATTTAATTATTGGGACATGTATTGTTAGAGGGTTCGTGTTAAATAAAAGAAAACCAGGAATTATACGGTCAGGACGTCGATAGCTAAAACATTGATATATGTTGACTCCAAAAAACCAAAATCAAAGAAGGAGTTTATATTAATATGGGTGTTAGTACGAGTTAAAAGATTTGGAAATTGAATATTATGAAAATGTAAGTATAACATCCATAGACATTGGCACGCCATAGACAGAATATCAGTTTTGCAGTTCAAGATAATTTAAAGAAAGGAATCTGAAAGCATTCAGATTGAAGGTAGAAATCTTAAAATATATTAAATTAATATTATATGAACTGAATAACTTGAACAAACATCGTATACACACTGAACGACGACATTAAAAGAACTGTCAACAAAATTCCATTAGTCGAAATGAAAAGCGTCTGGAAGACCTACAGCATTGTCATGAGTTCGCACAAGACAAGGAGATTTGGAAGCGATTGATAAGAGAGATATTTACAAAGTTGCTCAAAATGAGAAACCAAACTGATTTACAGCGTGCCTTCAACTTGAAACAGCTCCCATAATGATGAGTTATAAAAACATATTTTCAAAAAGTTAAACAAAATTTACTTGGCGAAGAGGGCAATGACTTAGCATGTTCATATTAAAAAAAAGACAACTGAATCGTTTCGTGATATCTGCCTTCCTATATGGCAGCGAATGCTGGACAATCTCCTCAAAGATAAAGAAGAATCTTGAAGCAGCAGAAATGTGGATCTACAGAAGGATACTGAGGATAACATGGACCGAATATGTGAGAAACGACGAAGTTTTAGATAAAATAGGAACAAAAAGGAAACTTTTACTTAACATCAGAAAGTGACAATTGAAACTTCTGAGGAAAGAGGGTTTGTAAAATCTGATACACATAGGACAGATTAACGACAAGAGAGACAAAAGAAAACAACGCATAACCGACTTAATGACCTTGAGTAAATGGATGGTGGAACAAGATTTAGGAGACAACAAAAAGAGAAAATTTATTAAGATCTAAAAAGGAAATGGAAGTGTGGAGAGCTATGATCGTCAACGTCCGGAAGGTTCACTGCACATAAGGAGAAGAGATGGCTTTAATTGAATGTAAAGATTTTATCATTGGGATATCTATTGTTAGAGCCAAATAAAGAAAAACCAGCAATTCTTGGCTCGGGACGTTAATAATTATCACATTGATGCATACTGCCTTCGAGGAAGCAAAATCAAAGAAGGACTTGATATTAATGTCGAAGAGCTTGGGAGACTTACATTACATTAATGGGTTAGCAAAAAACTGAAAGGTCAGGAGAGGACTGATAAGCGTTATTTACAAAGTTGCTGAAGATGAGAAAATCAAACTGATTTACAATGAGGCTTCAAGTCGAAACAGCTCCCATGATTAGTTATGGAAACAGATTTACCCAAAGTTACACAAAAGTTATTTGCCACAGAAGTTAAAGAAGCAGGACTTACAAGGCAACAGTTGGTTTGAATTTTCATTCTTCTAGACTAATATATATATATATATGAAGAAATATAGTCTTAAGATTTATGTGCTATATTTATGGGATACATTTACTGAATTGTTCCTAGATTTGTATATTATACCTTCAGTCATGCATTGACCATTTAATGGGCAGTTTATGTTTTTACGGCAATTGCATTGAAGTTTTTAAGAATTTTTTTTAGTGTTTTGTTTGCAATCTTAACGCATTATTATGTTGGGATGTGTAATTATCTATGTATTTTGTACAGCTATCTCTTGCCTTAATGTTATCTTTGTTGAAAATCTTTTTAGTGTTGAAAAATGACCAAAGTGTTTTTTTTTTTAAATTAAATTCAGGAAAATTCTACCTACATTGGTTTTGACGTTACTGTAGTATGGCAGGCTTGAACCATGTTTCGTTCGTGTTGTTTTAGTTTGTTTTTATATTTGTTGTGATTTCTAACATGTCTAGATTTATTATCGTCGAATATTTCTTTGTTGGTCGATAATCCTTAATGTACCGATTTGTGCGGATTATCTGTTATCTTTTTATGGTGGTGGGATCTTCTGTCGACGTACCTGTGGTTGTATAAATCCTTAGAGTATGGTTCGTAAATGCCCTTACACAGGTCAAATGTAACATCTAGGAAACTGATCACTTTAGCGTTGGTGATTAATGTTTACTTTATGGTCCTTAAAAAAAATTGCTTAGGTCCTTTCTCATTTGGTTTGATTGTCTAAGGCTCAGTTTACGAAGGAGTATCATCGCATCGTCTCTGTATATACCGTTGTTTTGTTTTATATCAGAGATAAATCTGAGTCTCCATTGTAAGAGTATACCAAGAAGTTCACATGCTTCTGCAGAATCATGTGCTCCCTTAGAAATTCAAATGTCTTGATAACTTTTTTTAGACCATAGAGTTCCGTCGTGATATAGAATCGATTTCTGTGCCTTTCAATTGAAGTTAGCCGAGGACATAAAAAATTAAAACAGGCAACATGAAGACCCACTTCAGACCACAATTAATTTAGAGTTGTTGAAATTCATTTTGTCAGTATGCTACCAGAGATTTAAAAGAGGATACATTTGTAAAAAAATTGTTAAGTTTGATGAAAATTTATTGAAAGATCAACAAAAAATAAGAAAGAAACCAGTAAAAATCGCCATTTTTCGCTATTTACGCGGGTTTTCACTATATGGGATGACTCAATTAACAAGTTAAATGACTGTTAAACAATCGAATATTGTTGGCTACAATTGAGTGATGTTTGTATTAGATTGCTTGAAAATTGAGAGAGCTTTTAGTTTAAAATGTGTTGAGATCGATTTTTCATTTTTCGCGGTTTTTCACTAAACGCAGTGGCGTAGAAATAAAAATGAGATATTGTTGAGCTCGTCATGATGTAAGTAATCTACGTACCGAGATTCAACGAAATCGGAGGGAAAAAGTTGAATCTATCGAGTTCTGATCGGTTTTATCGATTATTGATTTTTTTTAAAAAAATTATCGATTTTTACGCTAGACAATATGTCTCTTACATTGTACAATGTATGTTCCACGTTTGGTCAAAATCGGTTGGATGGATCTCAAGTGAAAAGGTATCACACAGACAGACATCCTCTGTTATATATATATATATATATATATATATATATATATATGTGTGTGTGTGTGTGTGTGTGTGTGTGTGTGTGCATGCGTGCATTTTTAAAGAGAGAGAGAAATGAGAAAAGAGAGAAGAGCATATATATCCTTCATTTTATGAAGGTAAATAAAAATAGATCTTAACATGGGTCTATAGACGACATGTGCGTGTCTTTGTGCTTGGGTTCATTTAACAATTTGGAGGAAGTTTTTCCCTGTATTCGTGAATGTGTGAAATGATGATACGTGTCAAAATGTTATTAGGCCGACGGAGAAAAGATGTCTATGGCTTTTTTAAGGCCATTGCGTGTGCACTAATTTTCTTCCGCGGAGGTCCCAGATTCTTTCCAAATGAATTAAGGCCTGTAATCACGCACATGATCATGACCGCCCCGTTATAATATGTGCGCTCACGCGCGTGCGTGTATGTGTATGTGTGTGCGCGTTTGTGCGCGTATAGATAGATAGATAGACAGATAGATAGATATGAACAGACGGAGATAAATAGATATGAAAAAAACTGAGATAGATATGAAAAGACAGATAGATAGATAGATAGATAGATAGATAGATAGATAGATAGATAGATAGACAGAGAGATAGATATGAACGAACAGACAGACAACTAGTTATCTAGCTAAACAGATTGATTGATATGAACAGAGATAGATAGATAGATAGATAGATAGATAGATAGATATGAAAAAACTGAGGTAGATATGAAAAGACTGAGATAGATAGATAGATAGATAGATAGATATGAACGAACAGACAGACAGACAAATAGTTATCTAGCTAAATAGATAGATAGATATGAACAGACTGAGATAGATAGATAGATAGATAGATAGATAGATAGATAGATAGATAGATAGATAAATAGACAGATAGATATGAAAAGAGTTGTGATAGATAGATAGATAGATAGATATGAAAAAACTGAAATTCATAGATAGATATGAACGAACAGACAGACAACTATTTATCTATCAAAATAGATAGATATGGACAAACTGAGATATATATGAAAAGACTGAGATAGATAGATAGATAGATAGATAGATATGAAAGACCAGACAAACATCTAGTTATCTAGCTAAATAAATAGATAGATATGAACTGAGTGATGTATATATTTATATATATTTCTTATGATATTTACTTCTCCTAGAGTTAAATATCATGACTTCTGTTATATCAGTAACTGTATTAATTCAAAATATTTTTTAATGAAAGTACTTTAGAATAATTGAAGACGATAGACTCTGTTATATTTAAACATGATGCTGTTTTTGCTCCATTCTAATTGAACGCTTTTTCTGATCGACCAGCTGGGTATGGCTGCTAGTTATAAAATAAAAGAAGAATTAGAAAACACATATCAATTTAACATGTTTCACTTTTATTAAAGCTTCGTCAGAAATTGGAAGAATTGCTTTTAGATAATCGACCAAACCCTCCCATTTTGTGTCGAAACGATTTGGGACCTAAATTTCCTTTCACTAATTCCACTCTAATTAAAAAAAGGACATAATTCTTTAAAGAGAAAGTACATTAATCCCATTATTATTAACTAGAAATACACGCCTAAAACATTACATCACTATTTTTCTTTGAATCCATTCTTAAAAATCTAACTTATATTTATCTAATACCAAGAAGAGATTCCTAAAGAAGCGACTCATAAATCAGAAGACTGCGACTCCCTGCTGCGAGGGTTGATCGTACAAAGCGGAAGATTAAAAAAAAAACCCAACTAGACAGACATACGCACACAATTTCAAATACACATTACTATTCGTTGCCCACTTAGACATACAAGAATCTTCACAAACTTACATATATAATGAATTATCTACGGTTCTAATGCACGTTTCTGACCAATGAGAACTGACCAATGAGAACTGACCAATGAGAACTGACCTAAACATAACTGAAAATACCAGTGTTCTTTTGTCTTTTCGTCTGTTTTCTCTGACGAAGCTTTTATAAAAGTGAAAATGTTAGATTGATAAACGTTTCCTATTTGCTTTTATTCTCTTGGATTCTGATCCATATTTAATCTACAACTGAAACACACACACACACACGCACATTTATATATATATATATATATATATATATATATATATATATATATAGATAGATAGATAGATAGATAGATAGATTTGTAGATTAAGTATAGATCAGAATCTGAGAGAATAAAAGCTAATAGAAAATAGGACGCACGTTGGAGTAATGGATAGTGGCTTGGATTGAAGAATCGGAGAGCCGAGTTCGAATTCCAGTCAAATCCATTACATTCATTTACGTGCTAATATATATACCCTTGGGAATGATGTGAATCCTCTTCTTCTCCCTCCAGCTATGGGTAAATAGCAGGACAAACTGGCTTCTATAGCCTTGGATGGCAACTGGTCTAAGAGAATTCAAAACCTGTGGATGGTCGTTTGGGGGACCTTGTGGCGATAAGTGCACCAAGTCTCCGTATTCGTCCCTTCAAAAAGTGTGGATGGTCCTGCACGAAACCTTCACCATATATATATATATATATATATATATATATATATATATATATATATATATATATATATATATACTGAGGCAAAACACCCTTATTCTCTTCATATTTCATCAGTCTGAATTAAGTTCCACCCGAACAGCTTCTTCCCGCCATTCACTACTTTGTGTAACCGACTCCCAAGAAGGTGCTTCCCGGAACACTCAAATCATAACCTTTTCAAGTCTAACCGGCCACATCACGTTGAAACACCGTTTCCCATACGATTACCGAAGTTAAGCAACGTCAAGCCTGGTCAGATTCTTGTTGGCTGACCGCTTAGGAATACCGAGTGTTGTAGGCTTGGATGTGCAAGATATGTAATGGATAAAGACTCGGAACTGTTAATCGGAAAGCCGAGGTCCAATTCCGGTTGGGTTTCTTATATTCACTTACCTGCAAAAAAAAAAAATTGGAAAAGTAGGAACCCCCCTCTTCTCCCACCGACCTCAAGATACGTATTAATTAGTAAGACTTGTGTCATAAAAATCATTATTTTCTCCCCACCTCACAAAAAAGAAAATAATTAAAAATAAAACAATTGCATTGAAAATATTTAGATTCTGACATTCAATAACCCATAGAGTTTGTTATGCCGCTAAGCAAAATCAACCGACTAACAATAAATATTTATAGTAAAATTACCAAGAATATATTTTATGATCTACGAACTATATATCTAAAAACATACCTTTATCCGGGGGGGTATAAAATTATATACAGGAAGTCTGGAGTTTAAAGCATACAATTGTATGCGGTATATTTAGATTTCGCCATTAAATAACCCATAGAGGTTGATATGCCGCTAAACAAAATCAATTACCCAACCCCTGTCTTTCCTACATATCCTAATAATATATTAAGAAATGGACAAAGTCCGACAATTTATTTATTAAAGACATTTTTTTATGTTTAACGTTCTTTTTTATAGATACAAGTATTTAAGTAAATGCTCTTTTTATAATAAACAGTATTAAATAACATTTACCGGCCTGAATGTCCGAGAAATTTTCATAGAAAATATTCGTCCTTTGACAGGATTCGAACCTGCATCCTATACGGAACCGTCATTTACGCTGACGTGCCTTACCGGTCGTCACAAAGAAGCGTTCGGTAGACAAGGTCGAATTTACTGCTTATAAACTTCAGGCCGGTAAATGTTATTTAATACTGTTTATTATAAACAGAGCATTTACTTAAATACTTGTATCTATAAAAAGAACGTTAAACATAAAAAAATGTCTTTAATAAATATTCTAATAAGCTGCGTAAGATTAAGACATAAGTATAAGACATAAGACATAATTACTCTTACTGCTCACAACAAATTCCTTCAGCAACGTCCTACCTCGAGTGTCTTCTGATCCTTGTATTGGCCGAACATTAGAGTATATATATATATATATATATATATATATATATATATATATATATATATATATATATATATATATATATATTGATAACACCTGACAAGTGAACGGAGTGGTGCCTAGAAGGTCCGTCCACAAAACTCTTGAGTCGGGATGATGAAGGTAACTTCAGTCACTTAAGAGACAAACTTTGAGCTAACCATGTGTGGAATTTAAAAGAAAAAACACCAGGGATCCGACTGTAAGCTGATTTTTTTTTTAAGGCGAAATCTTATAAGAACCGCAATAATACTTGCAACCTCTGCCAACAGGAAAAATTAACAATAATGATCCAAAGAAGCTTTTGAACCAGGAATCCGAAGTCATGAGCCCTTGCATACATACTAAAAATTTCTTCTTAAACTCATATGAGGCTGGATAAAAAATATGTATATTTCAATTACACCCCGCCACCTTGCTTTTCTTCTTCTTCTTCTTCTTCTTCTTCTTCTTCTTCTTCTTCTTCTTCTTCACATTCTCCTCCTCTCTTTCTATCACACCCACCGTCGTGCGTTTGTTTGTTTATTTTTAAAATAATATAGCGTTCATTAGTTTAAAAAATAAGACTTTGGGAGGTCAATTGATAAAAATCGCCTGAGGGGTTACCGTAAGGTTGAAACCAAGGTAGCGGATTCAACTGATCCCCTAAATTTTAAAGTATATATATATATATATATATATATATATATATATATATATATATATATAGAGAGAGAGAGAGAGAGAGAGAGAGACACAGACAGACAGACAGAAAGACAGACAGATAAAGATATGTGTTTGTGCGTGATAAAATATAGTTAATTTTATGCTATATTTATGGGGAGATATGCTCAATATCAGGGATAGCGTGCATGTAAATATAAAAGTGCAAACTTGGGTCAACCCCAGGCGGCAACTGTCTGTTTCATGCATCAATCTTCAGGCCATGTGTGTTGTGCTTTGGTTTCACTGTTTATACTAATTGGTACATTAGGGGTAGTAAGTTCTATTGTATTATCCTAACGATTATTAAAGGCGGTTATTTGTAGCTATTTTGTAGGATTCTAAAAGCTTTTCTTGTTATTTATTATTCTTTAGGTAATTATTTTTTTGTAGGATTCTAAAAGCTTTTCTTGTTATTTATTATTCTTTAGGTAATTATTTTTTTGTAGGATTCTAAAAGCTTTTCTTTTTATTTATTATTCTTTAGGTAATTATTTTTTGTAGGATTCTAAAAGCTTTTCTTTTATTTATTATTCTTTAGGTAATTATTTTTTTGTAGGATTCTAAAAGCTTTTCTTGTTATTTATTATTCTTTTAGGTAATTATTTTTTGTAGGATTCTAAAAGCTTTTCTTTTTATTTATTATTCTTTAGGTAATTATTTTTTTGTAGGATTCTAAAAGCTTTTCTTTTTATTTATTATTCTTTAGGTAATTATTTTTTTGTAGGATTCTAAAAGCTTTTCTTTTTATTTATTATTCTTTAGGTAATTATTTTTTTGTAGGATTCTAAAAGCTTTTCTTTTTATTTATTATTCTTTAGGTAATTATTTTTTTGTAGGATTCTAAAAGCTTTTCTTGTTATTTATTATTCTTTAGGTAATTATTTTTTTGTAGGATTCTAAAAGCTTTTCTTTTTATTTATTATTCTTTAGGTAATTATTTTTTGTTGATTATTATTATTACATTTAATTGTGCTTATGTGTTCATTTGTAGTTTGTTAATGAGATTATTATTTACTTACTTTGTTTATTTATTTATACAAACTTTTTATTTATTTTGTTTGTTTTTTCTAGGAGACTGGTTATCTTGTTTAGTTTAAGCTAATAATCTAAAGTATGTTGCCTTATCTGCGTTGTGTACAGTGTATATATTTGCCTTTATCATTGTGGTATTCGTTTTTAGTTTCCGATTTTAAATAACGTAGTAAAACTTGTTTTCGTGTCTGCAGTTTGGGATAAGATCTGTTCGTCTATTTAATAATTATTGTTGGCCTGGGAAGTTGATTATAGCTATTTTTCCTCCAGACAATTTTTACAGTTTTGGGATTTATTTTTGTAAGCTCGTGCTGTTTGCCTTATTTTCCATGATATTTTTGGTGTAATTTGTTTTTAATTTCACATATATGTATAGAAAATATTGTGTTATTCGAGTATTTACAGTTTGTAAATGATGTTGTATGTGTAGTTTCTTTGTTTCCAGGTTACTTCAGTTGCTCCTATGTATATATTTTTTTTAATTGTATGTATATTTTTCCTATGTATATTTATTATTTGCTGATTTGACAGTGGATTGGTATAGTACATTTTTTGCAAGCAGTTACCATTTAAGGGGTAATCGACCTTTATACTGCAGTTGCAAGTGGATTTGGTTCGTGAGTGGGTTTGTTGGTTATTTTTCTGTTGTGTCTTTTATCATTTGTGCCATCTTCCCTTTGCAAATTCAGCTGATTTTTACTGTGTTCCTATTGAATATCTTATAAAGAATGCTAGATGGAGGGGAGTATTTATGTATGAGAGCTATGAATATTTTTTCTTACGTTTTTTTCACGTTTTTGTTTTACGATGGGTTAGAGCATACGAAATTTCCTTTCCTGTTTCTTTGTGGCTTGTGAGCATTGCCAAATATCCGCTATATTTTAGGACTGTTTCATAATCTGTTATAGTTTTGTAAAAGATGTTTTCTTTGGAAAAATTGTTAGATAACTCGAGATTAATTGACTATAGAATCTGCTTGTTTATTGTTGGTTGG